TTATACGGCTTTGGAAGTGAATATTTAAAAAAAAAACTCGAACCCATAAACTTTTGTTTTTAGGTGGACTTGTTTCACCATTAATTTCATCCCTATAACCTCAACCGCCTAGAGGGGGCGGCTACTACCCTTATTTTTTCAATTGGGAAGGTGTCGAGAAATTGTGTTTACGGAACCACAATACTAAACACCAGATGCTCTTCACAGTGTCCAAGAACATTTTGAACAGTTTTTGTACTATTGTATGGGGGCGAATGGCGGACATTTTCAACATTCATGAGATAACAGGTAAATCATACGTACTTTTTTTTAGGTAGGTACTAGGTACCTACCCAAGGTACTTACTCAATAAAATTACATTTTTAAAAACGCAATTTTTCGACGGCGAGTAGCTCAAATTAAAAAAAAAAAAAAAACGAAGCGGCATTTTAATCAGTGGCGTAGGTACAGGGGGGTCCAGGGGGTCTGGACCCCCCCAGAGCCCTAGAGAGAGAAAAAAAATTAAAAATTGCAACAAAGTTGGTTTTCATCTCCTCGTTTTAATATCGAAATCTATCTAAATCTCGATATCGATGTTTTCTGAACATTGATGTATCGTGCTCAACACTACGTTTTTGATTCGTAGATTTACTGCAAAAAAATAGGTACAGATCGTTTCACGAGGGTTCATACTTTTGATCTCGAATACGTCATACTTGAAAAAAAAAAGGGTTGTCGTAAATTAATTCATATAATACGATGTCAGAGGTAGATATTAATATTACCTACTAGTTAAATTTTAATTTAAAAATGTCCTATTGCCTTGTTTTCTTTTTAGCGCAGGTTGAATACAGTTTGCCATTTTTATCTATCAATAAAAAGTTTGTACCTTTAGCTAAAGATGTTATGGACCACTTAGCCAGAAATCCAAGAAGACTGGAAATTTATTCTTTAGTTCCAGAGCCCTGGAATTAACGAATAAATTCCATATAATATAGATTATATCACAACATTAAATTGTACCTAATTAATCAAAATAAAAACTTTAAATTTTTATTTTTTTATCCCATTTTGACTTTCAAAAATGACATTATTGAACGCATAATAGACGTTTAAACGCATAAATAGACGTTTATCACCTCAGTGATTTAAAATATTTTTAACTCACTCTGAATAAACATTCATTTAACTCACTTGGTGTACATATAAATAACTATTATGAATCTTATACCGTTCCAAAATAACTTATTTTGGAAAATGCATTTTTACTAAATTTGTCGCGATTGGTCACAAATGTTTGCCTTCGGCGAATTTGCCTGCACCGCTGGAGCTGGACCCCCCCCCCCCCCCAGAGTGAAAAGTTATCTACGCCACTGACTTTAATGAGAATTTAAATTAGGGTCAGTTTGAAATTCATTTTCGAAAATGTGAAATTAAATTTCGTTTGTGAGAAATAAGTTTTGGTTAGTTTGAAATCAATTTTCATTTGAGCGAAATTAGAAATCACTGATGTGAATTAAGTTTTCATCAATTTGAAATCAAATATCACTAGTGTGAAATAATGCTGGAAATGGAATGCATAATATTGATTGAAGTATCAATTACCTACATCACCTAAATTCTACTCGTTCACTATCAAAGGTGACAGTCAGAGATGCAATTTTTTTTCTATAATTTTTCAAACTTTTCAAGGATATTTTGTCACCGCACGGTTGTAGATAAAATACTGTATATAATACGCATGGTATTACCTAAGCACATTTATTTTCAGAAGTACCTTTACTGAATTTTAGCTCATTATTAAAGCCTGAATTCTAAAGGTGCCTTTCTACACTTAGCTTTTTTGTGATTTTTCTGTTATTGTTTTGGATAAAAATCTGTTTCTGTCACACTTTTTATGCGATTTGTAACAATAGATAGGCAGAAAAATATTATCTTTGGAAGGTCAATAACTTTAATTGACTTTTTGAATTGCAATAATTTAAAATAATCATTCATGTTATTTGTAATCTATTTTTCGTCAATTCAAGGTCTATGATTTTAATTGACTTAACAATTTGAAATATTGATGTAAATTATAATAGTTATTCATGCAACAAGTGTTTTTTTCTACTAACAATCAAATAATATGTGTAAAAAAATAAAATAGACAAATACTTTACGCACTAGTGTGTAAAGTGAATTAATTACTTTGTGCACTAATGCGTGAAGAGAAACTTTACGTCTTCTGATTAGTACGTAAAGTGAGTAGGTACTTTACGCACGGTAGTAGAAAAAAATATTTTTCTCAATCCAAAACTAGGATATTTCCATATCGGTACATTCTCCAAAATTTTAAATAAATCAAAAGTCTAATCATATATTATATCACCAGACCTTTAAAAATTTATTCCATTGAACTTGAAGATTACAGCCAACAACAAACAGTTTCATTCATTATAGAATGTTTCCATCGAAAAAGGTAAACAAAAATTTAATCTTGAGTTGAGAGTTTTAGTGATTTAGGGCCGGTTTATTCACTTTCTGATAAACTGTCAGGTATGCAATCTGGCGGTTAAAAACGCAATCTGTGATACCATTTGTCGGCCAGTTAGTTACCGAGCAATAGAATTATAGAACGGTGAATTTATCTTGCAGATAGTAACCAGCAAGTTTATCTGAAGATGAATAAACCGGACCTTATTCACTTATTTAAACAATATATATTCAAACAATTGCGTTGTCTGGTATATTTCATAATGAGGAAAATATTTGATAGATACAGTATCTTTACAAAACCCAGACCATATTGTATATCATCATTAATTAAATAATTTTTCTCCGAATGACAGTAAAAGCGGCCTTTTAATGACACTTGCCAGGATCTAAAGTTGTATTTTTACTGCCTAGGCATTAAAAGTGACAGTGTCACAACTTTCCAGGTAATAATTTCACTCAATTTGGTATTTGAAATTGATGGTGACAATGACAATTGTCAAAATAATTTAATTATTTGGATAATAATCATGAATGAAATAAATATAAAAAAGATATCCATGTGTGAATTTAAACATTCGGAGAAAAAATTATATGTTTTACATGGCAGAAAAGTAGATTTGGTTTCCTAGCCTCGGCTATGGCTCGGCTATGAAACACCAGCCGCGGCATTAAATCTTGTACTTTTCTGCCTAGTGAAACAAATAAATATTGTGTGTCTGTTACGACTTTTACTGTGCGAGTTCCCCATTTTTCTCAATCTATTCATATCAAGTCTCGTTGAGGTTTGAACGATTTTTTTCAAATTATAATACATATTTCATCAAAACAATTGGTCAAACCATCCAGACGGACCCGGCTGCTGAGCAAAATCTAAATTTGCACTTAGTTATAGGTACAACCAAGATACAACTATTGTTGATGTTCAAGTGAAAGGAAAAGCTTTCAATAGAAAAATAAACATTTTGAGGTAGCAAAGTATTCGAAATATCTTTCTTCTCACAAGGTATAGTCTAAAATTTAAATACTAATCTGTTTCTCATAGAGCTTCGCGAGACCACAAGACTAGTCTTGGTCTTGTCTTGGTCTTGGTAGCAAGACCAAGACCAAGACCAAGACCTAATAAATCGTCTCAAGACCAAGACCAAGACTGGAGGTTCAAAACCAAGACTCTCGTCTTGGTCTTGGTCTTGAAAAGAAAAATCGACTCAATTATTTACATTGCCCATTGCCCGTGAAATATACGAATACCAAATATGCAAATACCAAAAAATTGGAGAATGTACTGAGAGCACTCACCGGGTAAGATGTTTTTGAATAATCGCACGAAATCGAAGGAGTCAGAGTGCATTTTTGTCCGCGAGTAATAATAAAAGCTATTCGTTCAAGTATTTAATATTTTCCTGCCCTACATAATACAATAGGTACCTAAGTATTGGAATTTCCAAAGATAATTATTAATTTAGGTACAAAAACCCCACATCTCACCCAAACTAACCCAAATCTAATTATTGTAAATAGGCCAATAAAATTCAAATGAGCTATTTGAGGGTTTTTGAAAACCTTTGTCTGGCCTGAATGCTCAGGTAGGTAAGGTAGGTTTATTCTTATGGTTCAAGTAGATTTTTTTTTTCCTCGGCACAGAATGGCAATTTTATGTTGTGTTTGTCAACTTTTCTGTTCCGTTAATAAAAATCTAATTCAAGAATTGATGTTTGTTTGTTCCTCTATGTTGGGGAATGCTTTATGCGGTATTTTGGTCATGGAACGCTCTTGCTGGTAAAAATAGCCTGTGGAGAAGACCAAATGCATGTTCGAAACGTCGGCATAATTTTTTCAGAAAGGGAGTTTTATTTTTTATTTCTGAAATCCTAAACCGATTATCTCTGCTCTGTCGTCATATGTTATGTATATTTTAAAAATTTAACATAATTTTTTCTCAAGACTATCAAGACCAAGACCAAGTCTGAGCAAGTCTTGTCTTGGTCTTGAATCATCAAGACCAAGACCAAGACAGCATTTATTTTTCGAGACCAAGACCAAGACTGGCTAGTCTTGGTCTTGGTCTTAGTCTTGCGAAGCCCTAGCTCAACATTTTGATATTGATATTTACATTGTTATGCCCGTATTACATCTGTGTATTTTTCAGTTCAGGGTGCCAACATTATTTTGTTTTCCATAATGCTGATTTATGTTGCGTTTGAAGTTTTTCAGTTATCACCCAAAACTACATGAATAAATACACGGCAAAATACACAGATCTAATAAAGGCATAACATAAGATTGACTACTAAAAAATACTACCCAAATAACAGGAAAAAAAATATTTATAAAACATTAAAGGTCATCTTAAAATAAATTCTTGGAGAAAAATTGAAATAAACATATTAGATATGTATGGACCATTTTAAAAAAAAAATTAAAAAACCATTCCTATTTTCGAACTCTTATGCTTTTTAAATATTATTTAAAATTAGTTTTACTTTTCTAAAGGGTAGGTAATTTCAAAACTTAAAAATTAAAATGTTTATACAATTCTACATTACCTTCAATTGAAATATTTCGATTGTTTTGTTAACCAAAAAAACACAGTAACTGTACCTAGTAATTATCTAATTTTTGAGAAGCAAGTTAATTCACTAATACGCCACTACTCAAAACATAATACGTACCAATTTTAACTAAGTTTTTATTTATACATAAATTTTGAACAGGTCCGACTTTATTTTTTAGTAAAGTGCGACAATAATTTCTATATAGGAAACATATTTAAAATTTAGATGATACTTATGGTCAATGTCTTGTCAAATAATAAACAAGTGTCCATTCTAAACTAACGATCCTCAAGGACGCCTCAAGAAACGTCTCTAATTTTTACAAAGTTTAGTGCATAGGTAGGTAGCAAAATGACAGTTGTTGTTTTTATAATGCTCGATGTCTCAAATGGGTGAAAATTGAATAGTCAAGTCTTGAGGTAGATAAAAAATAATAAGAAAAGCATTGATATTTAGAATGTTACAAGCTCTTCTAAGAACTCTATGATTCTACTGTCTGTGGTGAACTTGTTATTAAATGAGACATTACCAAATATACTTTTACTTTTACTTTTTACTTGAAGAAACAACTGTCAGAACTCAGAAGCATACAGATTATGTTTTTCCAGGAATTCATAGAGCCTCTTCCCTCTCTCAATTGCCTATACTCTTCTTGAGATCCCTGAAGATTGGTGATTGGTTTTCTTTAGTGAGCTAAATTTCATATCCATGAATATTTTCTAAGAGCTGATCGGCAACTGTGCTGGATGTTTTTATGACGATGTAGAAATATAGGTACATACCTGAAGGTTTAGTGTAAATAATTTTGGTGAGATTGCATCTTCTTTTCTTACTACTTTTCTGATTTGGACCGCTTCAGTTTATAGATCCTCATCTATTTCCACTTGTATAATATGCATTATTATAAAAATTTGTTGGATAAGGCTTGTATATTTTGAGTATATATCTTCGTGGTATCTAATCATGATTTGACCTATAAACTTTCTACATAAATTTTGAAGCATTAATAATAATAATAAATAAATTATAAAGCCGACCCTGGCATCATGCGGTTCAATCTTTTTTTCCATTGATAGATTAGTAGAAATTAATAGGCATTATATAACTACAGGAGACAGTTTTCATTTGTTTAAACAGATAAAAATGTCATAACATAAACATCTTATAAACTGTTTACTTTAATTTTCTGTTTTGTTTTATTTTTATTAAACCACTACAACAGTATCTAATATAATTTCAGTTTTTTGCTTAGGTGCAATGATTAATAGCGGGTCCTCCTCCTCCTTGAATTATTAATACCTCTAAGAAAAGATCGTTTCCGCTTACTCACCTCAAGCCCCAGTAACAAATATCTCTCCAGGCATATTTATAGCAGCTTTGAGACTTCACTTTATAAGAATGGTCCAAATTGAAAAAGATAAAGGGAATAACCTGTATCATGTATTGAAGATTTATATTATACTTTGTCTACTTTGTATTCGTTTCTTTCTTTTCGTTATATGATTAGAATAAATTTTCATCCACCAAGTTTATACAACTCTATTGTTCTTTGCTCTTTAGGTGATAGCTCATAGATACTAGGACAAGAATTATTTCTAATTTGTTCTCAAGGGGGTGTCTATAGGCGTTAAACTATTGTCTATTAAAGTCTCCAATTAGGAAAATTAAAATGTGAAAACAATAATACGAAATATGTTTACAGTAGTTTATAATAATTTTATCTACAAGCGTTTGGTTATGACGATTTTACATAACCATTTTTCTAGTATTTGAGTTATGTTATGAGATTCATAACACAACTAGTGGTGTTATAGACTAGGTTATGAATTCATAACACAACTATTTTTGGTGGTTTGACAAATGTCAACGTTAAACCTGTGAAGGTAGAATCAAGGTAGACAACTATTAATAAACGAAGATAACTGAAAAAACATTCTTATTTTTCGCTTTGTAGATAAAACGTTGTACATCACACGCGCGTTTAAACATGACTACAAAACTCGTGTGATTAGAGCGACTCGGTTTACGACCTCGTCGTCCTCATCTTTCAAACTCGTTATTGTAATCATGTTCATAAACGCACTTGTAGTGTAAATAACTATAATATAACCCCTTTGAAGTATATCGATGATTTTTAGCATAAGCAAAAGCATTGCTGTTCCAAACAATTAGGCGACAAAATAGAGTAGGTAGTACTCTACAGTTTTTCTATTTCATCCAAACAAAGTCCTACCTACTTATTATACTTATTTGGACTTCTCTTATTCTCAAAATCTGAAGACAATTAATTAATTCATACATGACTATTTAATTTTTGACAGTCATTATAAGTTGTTTACCTACTTCAAACTATTATTAGTATGATTGCTAAGCAGATAATCATTCGAGCAAGTGATGGACAAACAAGCAAATATTTTTTTTATTTCGATGCGCTGGTGGTACGGAATATATGCGATTAATGAAAGTGAAGCGCTTTTTGCGATTTCACAAACAATTAATTGGCAAAATCATCAAGGCGCGTAAATGATGTGTTTGGTTTGTTAACGTGAAACTACATACTGCGTGATGCTGTATTAAGTAGCATAAACTTAAAGGTTTATCAGTAAGAAAAATAAGAATGATTCGATGATTTTAAAATAAAATGGTACCTAGTTATTAGTTAACTAACGGAAACGATGAGAACCGTTTTCTTGAAAGTATTCCAAAAATTACATAATTACACGATAATTTTCGCTTCATTACAGCGAAAATTTTATTCTAGTGATTTTCTACTTAAATTACACTTGCGTGCTTCAAAATAATCGGATAATTTTTATTCACCGAAAATAAAAAGTAGGGTATCTTTGTTTGATGTGATGTCTCTACTCTCTACAGTATTACAATCTCCTCGCTCATCCTGAGCCTTAGACGACCGACGGTGCTTCCTAAAGCAGTAAAAGCACACAGCAAACATAATAGTCAACCATCCAAGGACCTTTTTTTTCAGTTATACATGTAAACCCCATACTTTGTGAGTGGCTTGCTTACATCAAGTCCTACAACTTTTCCTCTACGACTTTTCTCGGAAATGGCACGTATGCGCGCAGACGACTCGCAAACATTTTAGGGGTATCGGACTCCCCCAATTTGCCATTATTTTTGTCGGCCAAGTTGATTTCCGTGATTTAGAAATAAAAATCAAACATTATTCGTGAAATTAGATTTTCATGTATCAAGAAACATAACCACGTCAGATCGACATTTTGGGGGTATCGGACTCCCCCAATTTGCCATTATTTTTGTCGGCCAAGTTGATTTCCGTGATTTAGAAATAAAAATCAAACATTATTCGTGAAATTAGATTTTCATGTATCAAGAAACATAACCACGTCAGATCGACATTTTGGGGGTATCGGACTCCCCCAATTTGCCATTATTTTTGTCGGCCAAGTTGATTTCCGTGATTTAGACATAAAAGTCAAACAGTATTCGTAAACTTAGATTTACCTACATGTATCAGGAAACATAGCTACGTCAGATCGACATGTTTGCGAGTCGCCTGCGCGCATACGTGCCATTTCCGAGAAAAGTCGTAGATGAAAAGTTGTAGGACTTGATGTAAGCAAGCCACTCACAAAGTATGGGGTTTACATGTATAACTGAAAAAAAAGATCCTTGGATGGTTGACTATAATAAGAATGTATACTGGGTGTCACCCAGTATGCATTCTTATTATGGGTGACGATTTGAAAACTTCTCACCCTTAATAATATTTTTGTTGCAGTTTAAAAACCGTAAAAATCAGCCAGACGCGTCAATTAATTATATTTGAAAGGTAGGCACTTTCAATGAACATTCTTAGCACTTTTGTTCCAGATACTTACCAGAAATTTTCAAAATTATCCATTTGCTATTCCGGACTCGGCTACAGCCTCGTCCGCAAATATTCGTCCTATAAAAAATCTTATTATAGGTAAGTACCTTACCTACTTACAAAAATAGCTTTTTGCCAATATAAGATAAAAAAATGAATAAACGAAAAATATTAATTTTGAATCTTCGGAGTTTTCGCCTTCGCCTTCACTCAAAAACTCTCATCCTCTCGATACTCAGACAGAAAGAAAATGTGGAAAGTTGTTTTTTTTTTCCCTTGCAAGTTGACACCTTTTCGGCCATTGAAAACCGTCTGGCATTTTTTATTGGTGAATTATTTTATTGGATAAGATCATAAAAAAAAAAAACATAATGTTTCAAGTAAATAGAAATTTATTTTCCGAATTTCCCAAGGGATAGCCGACATTAAAGCCACCCTTACTTTCATCAGCTAATTAGCTACATTCGCCGTCAAAATGCTAGACAAAAAAAATTACTACAATCCCTATCTCACGGTCTAAAAGGCCAGAATCCAAAGCTCCTTGTTATATTTCTAATTCACGGTTTCACTCCACTTCTGCTAATTTGTATACTTAAAATACCATCTAATCGTGATGGCATGACTAATCAAGTCTAGCTTTTCTTGGCAGCAGCTCTCGCAAAAAAACAAGATAATAGACAGTATTCGCCTTTATCTAAGAGAGATAGGAATAGTTTTCTTCAGAGAAATCTTCGTACAGGCTTACAGGCATTATGTATTTGACCTCGCAAATGACTCATTCAACCATTGGAAGCACTGTAACGATTCAGAAAAAATGGAGCATTATTTACATATATATAAAATGCAAGAGAGTTTTCATAAAATAATAATAATAAATTAAATTAAAATTAAATAAAACTCAAATTAAAATTTTTATTATAAAATAATTAGCTATCAAATTTTTCTGGAAAAACTGCAGAAAATAACAGCTTTGCAATTAGTAATTATTTTATAAAAGGACGTACACCTGCACTATCCTCAGACTACGGCCTTATCCCTAGGGATAAGCACTATCTTCAGACCACAGCCCACAAGCCCGGACCGGAAAGCCTGGTAGGTACCGGGTGATTGTCTATATTTTGCGGCTCTGTGTCATTTGCGCGACAACCGTTTGCGCGAGGGAGAAAAGCGCGATACGAAAAGCGCGAGGGACAAAAGCGCGACGGAACAAAAACGCGACAGGAAAAAAGCGCGATGGATACAAACGCGATGGATACAAACGCGACTGGATAAAAACGCGAGGAACAAAAGCGCGACGGAACAAAAACATGAGGGACAGAACCGCGACGGAACAAAAACGCGACTGGAATAAAGCGCGATGGACACAAACGCGACTGGATAAAAACGCGAGGAACAAAAGCGCGAGGGACAAAAGCGCGACGGAACAAAAGCGCGAGGGACAGAAGCGCGACGGAACAAAAACGCGAAGAGCAAAAGCGCGACTGAACAAAAACGCGACTGGATAAAAGCGCGAGAAACAAAAGCGCGAGGGACAAAAGCACGACGGAACAGAAACGCGAGGGACAAAAGCGTTGTTGAAATGGCTGCCAACAAATAAAGGACCGGGTATAGAAAGCCCCCAGCGACGAGTTCAAAATATGAGCAAGTTAATTCTCGATTGTCAAACTTAGTCCAAGAATACCCTTTCTCCAATGTACAAAATCCCCTTAAAGCAGTAGCTTTAAACTCAACCATTTAAACTTAGCATTCCATAATTTGTATTTTTAACTAATCTATTTGGTTTTTTTGTTAATAAAGTTTATCATGTTGTCCTACTTAGAACTATAGAATAAGTGATGAACAAATTGAATCAATAATAATCGAAAAAACGCAGACTTACTCAATCTAACCCAAACTAACCCGTCCGCCTAGTGCGATCTTGTCCTCGTAAGTTAGCATTTTATTGCAAACTTACTCAAACTAACCCAAACTAACCCGTCCGCCTAGTGCGATCTAGTCTGCGTAAGTTAGCATTTTATTGCAAACTTACTCAATCTAACCCAAACTAACCCGTCCGCCTAGTAAAATCTAGTCCTAGTAAGTTAGCTTTTATTGCAGACTTACTCAATCTAACCAAAATTAACCCGTCCGCCTAGTGCGATCTAGTCCTCGTAAGTTAGCATTTCATTGCAGACTTACTCAATCTAACCCAAACTAACCCGTCCGCCTAGTAAAATCTAGTCCTAGTAAGTTAGCTTTTATTGCAGACTTACTCAAACTAACCCAAACTAACCCGTCCGCCTGGTGCCATCTAGTCCTCGTAAGTTAGCATTTTATTGCAGACTTACTCAATCTAACCCAAATTAACCCGTCCGCCTAGTGCGATCTAGTCCTCGTAAGTTAGCATTTTATTGCAGACTTACTCAATCTAACCCAAACTAACCCGTCCGCCTAGTAAAATCTAGTCCTCGTAAGTTAGCTTTTATTGCAGACTTACGCTTTTATCCAGTCGCGTTTTTGTCCATCACTCTTCATTCAGGTCGCGTTTTTGTTCTGTCGCGCTTTTGTCCCTCGCGTTTTTGTTCCGTCGCGCTTTTGTCTCTCGAGTTTTTGTCCCTCGCACTTTTGTTCAGTCGCGTTTTTGTTCCTCGCGCTTCTGTTCAGTCGTGTTTTTGTTCCGTCGCGCTTTTGCCCCTCGAGTTTTTGTCTCTCGCGCTTCTGTTCAGTCGGGATCTTGTTCTGTCGCGCTTTTGTACCTCGCGTTTTTGTCCCTCGCGCTTTTATCCAGTCGCGTTTTTGTTACTCTCGCTTTTCTCCAGTCGCGTTTTTGTTCCGTCGCGGTTTTGTCCCTCGCGCTTTTCTCCCTCGCGCAAACGGCTGTCGCGCAAATGACACGGAGCCATATTTTGCATCCACACCTATCTCACCTGTTTGAAGAGATAGATACCCAGAAATGTCAAATGTGAAAGTTGTAGGTAATATCTAAAAAGTTTTCAATGACGTTAGTTAAAAGTATACAGGGTGGTCACAAAAGTGTGGCGAAGCAAAGTATTACTTTTTTAAATGGAAAACCCCGTATATTATTATCCCATAAGGCCGGCATACACACACGTTATTTCGCGCGGTTTATCGTGGCTTGTTGGGATGTGGCGATTAGCATGCGCGAAAGAACGGCGTGGCAAAAAAAGCGTCATGTTCCATACACTTGATAAAGTATTCAAATTATTTAGCATGTGATTACGCGGGGCATATCAGTTTCAAGGGAAAACTTGTATGTGTATATGGGCAAAAAGTGTCATTTATCGTGTCATTTGAAAGTGCCTATGGTCATGAACTAATTTTCAATGCAGAGGGGCGCAACTAGCTTGTTGGTTTTGGGGGGGCTTGAGCCCCGGGTCTCTATAAGTCGAATTGGTGACAGTATATGATGTTTTTCAAAACTTACTACCAGAGCTGTCAAAGATACTTTTAAAAAGTATCTACACCATTTCCAAATTCAAGCGGCAGTAAATGACAAACTGGTAATTTTCATTACAACCTATCAAATGTCCTCCATGCATGCGCACCGGTCCAGGTAGGGCATTTCAACCAATAGGAAGGCTGGTGCTTGTTTACAATTTAGGTTATTAAATGTCATTTACTGCCGCTAGGATTTGGAAATGGTGTAGTTACAAGATAAGTTACTTTTGGAAAAAATATCTGAAGTTACTTTGGGTATTTAGTTACTCATGAAAAAAAGGAACTCAAATACGTATCTTAAGTTACTTTTTAAGATACTTAATAAGATACTTATTGAGATACTTTATTTGTATTTCCAAATAGCAGGCGGAATAACCCAATTCTTCTTGAGTATATTGTAGGATCTCCAAGTCAATACAGCTTATCATATCGGTGAATTGTTCCACATGAGCACTGTTTTCTTCAAATTCGAAAAAAAACATTGTCGGCAATATTTTCCTTATAAACAGGGATCGGGATATTATCATGACTTTTCTTGTACATACAGTACTTCAGCTTTACTGGCCAAACATATCTTAATATCTGCTCTGTTCCAACCGACATGAGAACCGTTCCAGAACCAGTAATTTTCAGTTGCCCACTCGTTTTTAAATAAATTGAACGTTTATTCTGCTTAACAATCGACTGGAAATTACCGTTCTTGAACGGTCCTCATGTCGGTTGGAACACAGTACACAGTTTGCAACCTGTCAGAAACAATCTGTTAGCTAAGTTACCGATTTATCTTGGAATGTCGGCAATGACGGCATTGAAAACATGTAAGGGCGATGCTCACTGACAGTTTGCAAACTGTCAGAAACTCTTGTGAGAACAGACCTACCATCTACCTATTATAGTCCGACAAATACCATTTGAAAGTCACGTGATACTGGTGGCAAAAAACGTATGTCCATTGATTATGTCGTTGATATCACCTACAAAAAGCTACTGGTTATGTATTTGTTATTTTATCTTATGTTATCTTATTTTATTTTATTTGCTGTATAAATCCAGCTTAATAGCCAATCAACGGGTCTTAATTTAAAAGGTTTCCATAACAAACAGAAAACTCTCCAGAAACTTTTAACTTTTCCCTTGGTGGGTACTCTAAGCAGTTTAAGCGAAATTACACTGGATACCTATTTTCTGAACATACAGAAATATAGGTATATGACTATGTATGTAGTTTTTTTCTCTTCGAACATTGAATAATACATTCATTCTTGCTCGATATTAAATTGATTAATGATACGAATTCTACACGCCCCGTAGATTCCAAACCGGAATCCACAGCCTGTCGACCAATCCAATTCTCCATATTTTCGGAAAACTAATGATTTTCTTTCAAAAAGTTCGAAGAGAAAGTATAGTCTTCTACTCGCAAATAAATAATGGCTATTATTCACTCGAATGATTCCAACAATCGCCTTCGGCTCGCGTTTGAATTTTCATTCTCGTGAATAATAGCCATCATTATATGCTCGTTGAAGAATATACTATTTTTAATTCGTGTCAGGTGTCAGATTATGAAATTTCAAAATTTCAGTAGGAAAACAAGAATTCAACGGATTCTGGTCGTGTCTTCAGCTCTCAATCGCCCTGTCATTTGAAACAGGTCAAAGATATTGTACAACTTCTGCGATCACACCGCTCCTATGCACCGCTCGCTAAGCTCTTTTTCCTTGCTTTCCTGGCTCTTTGCTTGCTGAAAATTGTAAAGAATTTCCACCTACTTGTCTATTTATTTGGATACACCTCTATACCGTTACAAGGTCAATTCAATATATTTTTAATGAAGGAATTCTTTGGATCACAAGTTACTCTCATACTTCAATTTCAAGAGTCTTCAAAAAATATCACCAAAAGGCAGTTGAAAAACAAATTTTTCATAGAGGGGTGCGGTTTCCACTGTTATTCTTTGCAAATGAATGTTGAACCATTTGAATTTGACAGCCTGTCAGATGTTGCAGGAAACTAAATTTTTATTAGTCCATATTTCAAAAATAATAGTCACACTTATTTCCACAAAACATAATATATTAACAATAATATAATAAATAATAAAAACATTACAATATAAGTATTCGAATCTAAAAAGACATACATATACGGAAATAAAAATGAATATAAAAATATACAAATAAAAACACCTGCATTGAAACTATACATTACTACATTGGTAAAAAAAAGTATAGGCAAAGGCTTTAAATCAAGTATTTTTCTCAACAACCAATTTGGGAGTGGAATAATGGTCTTGGAAGCTAAAAATTAAAAAACAAAGAAACATTTTTATCTGATGTAACAAATTCAACCCTCATCATATATTATCTGATAATCTTATAAATGTTTCAATCTAAATTTTACTTTATAATATGACTTTAAAAATAAAAAGACTTGACTCTGGTCTAACAATGATGAGGCTCAAATTTATAACATCCCATTAGTCTGTTTACATAAATGTTATCTTACAATATAGGCAACACCTAATTTAAAATCACCAAAAACTTACTTTGGCAAAATAAAACCCAGATGTGGCAATAATAATAATATAGCCACACTAAACCTACCTACAATACACATCACTATCATTATAATATAGAGAGTGTATTTATCCTAAGAAGTAAAGTAAATGCTTAAAAAAGTAGTAATAGCCCATCATATAAATTATCCATAAAATACAGATGTATGATGTATCTGTATAATAGGTAACCTGCGAGAACAGTAAACATAAAAAATAGCCTACAAAAAAAAGCTTAAACAAATATACCACATTTACAGCTAAGGAAAATTTCTTATCACAAATAATTACCATAATGGCCAGATAGGATTCTTATTTAAACACCTCTTTGGTTAAAAACTAAAGCAATAATGAGGCTAATGCATTACAATATGTACATTTTAAAGTTCAGTCCAGAGACTAGATATATTTGAAGTAGTTGGTCAAAAAATCTACACTAAAACATCTAAATCCCTATTATACAGGGTGTTTTGAAATAGATTTTTTTTTTAAATTGTATAAACTTGGCAATCAGATGCTGGAGGATGGTTATAGAGAATTATTGGTCATTCAGTTAAGGAAATTTGCGGATTATTTTTATTGGTTGATTTAAAATTTGAATTTTTTTCGAGACTATTTATACAAAATCGCGTTTTCCGCCTCTGAGTGGTGGATTTCTGTAGGTTTTACTGAATTGTACGAATTCATTCTGACCATTCATTATAGCCGGATGAAATGCAACTGTTTAGTTAACATATTGCAAAATAACTTATTAAAAAAAGGCCTAAATCTAATTAAAGTTTCTTCAAGAATGTATCTACTTAGCAAAAAATCCCAACAAACAGTATTTTTACTTTGCTTGGCAACAAAAATAATTGGTAGCTTTTCTGTGTTAAATCATCTCATTTATAACTGTGTTTATACCATTGGTTTATACCATATCCAAAAAAGAAACATACATATGGAAGTTTGTGAAAACCAAGAATTCATGAATTTTAAAAACCAATAATCAATTCCTGAATAATAAGAAACCTTGAAGTCAAGTTGTTTCAATGATGGTTTAACACATAATAAGTCTAATTTTATTTTTCAATAAAAGCTTACAAAAATATAATGACCAGTAACATCCAAAAATCGGCATTAAAATTTCAAATCACCAAGCAAACTATTTATGTCCGATAGATTTTTTTAGAAAACTGATAATAAACATATGACACCAAAAATATTCACATGTATTTTGAATGTCGCTGCACCCAAATACATATGTATAACCAAAGCCAATAAAGCCCCTATAATAATAAATATTTAAAATGTACTTGCCTTTTTTCATTTGAAGTAAATATGTTAATCAGAAACATATTTACATATACATACTTATATTAAGGAAAATTTGTGTAAGAAACTAATTTTAAAAAAGTGTGCACCCTATTCAAACCCTGCTGTCTGCATATTTTTCAGCAAATTCAAAACAGCCAACTCTTTTTGTTCCTTTAGGTTATTGCGCTCCTGGAATTCCATCCGATTCCGTATAATTCTTTCCACTATTTTCTCTGTTGTCATATCATTTCCTGCAAGAGAAAATAGAAAAATATGAGTTAATTTTATCTGATGACATCTCCTTATAAAGAAAGTAGATTTTTTCTGGTACTTTCCACGACAGTGCAGGATGAATTGTACTTAATGACTCAATGGTGAAATAAAAGAAGAAAAAACATTATAAGCAGTATTGCACATATTCCTAGATATTTTTTATGCATTTGTTTAATTATTGAGAATCTTTCCAATTACCTGATTTGAGGGTCATGAATTTGTCATGACGCTTGGGGATTTCGTATGGGTCGGATCCATCTTCATCGTCCATAACTGAAGTCTCCCCGTGTAAAACCACGTCTACTTTAAAATGAGACATTAAATCTTCTGTGACCTGGAAGTTTGAAAAATTTTAATAAGTACATATACCATAACAAACAAAACAACAACAAACATTTTTTGAATATTGGTGTTTCAAAGTGACCCAGTAAATTATTTCGGAAACTAAACATTAGAAAAATTTTAAATTTTGGGTATTAACATATAGACCCTGAGATAGGGCCTGTTAAGTGGAGTCATTTTTTTTTGTCTGGCATTTTGAGGGATGAATGTGACTAGTTAGCTGATGAGAATATAAGTGGTTTCAATGCCTGCCTCCTGTTCGAAATGTCCACAGAATGTTTCGCCGAAAAACTCGATTTCGAACTGTGACTACCGTCTGGCGATTTTTCAGCGTTATTTTCATAACAAAACCTTTCATTCTCTCGATTGCCAGACAAAAAGTAAACGCGGAAGATTCTTTTCTTTTCTCTTGGAAGTTGACACCCATTCCCATTTTTTCAGCTATTGAAAAGCTTCTGATATTTTTCATGGGTGAATTATTTATCAATGTCAATCTTTTATTTAAAAGCTAGAAAATTTGAGATCATTAAAAAAAATTCTTCATGTAAATCAATTTTTTTCTTCTGAAAGTTTTCGAACGGGAGGCCGGCATTAAATCACCCATATTCTCATCAGCTTAGTAGCCACATTCAGCCCTCAAAATGCCAGACAAAAAAAATGACTTCACTAAACAGCCCCTATCTCACAGTCTAATAAGTTCATAAGCTATTGACAAAATACTTTTACATTGGCAATGTTGCAAAAAATATGTTTCTTTTGTGATTTACTTATAAAAATATATACACCGTGATTGACGTAGCCCGTGTAATAGAATTCAATTGGATTGCAGGTGGATAAGTAGAGATAGCATCTAATCCACCTGCAAGCTAATGAACGGGCTACGTAAATCACCCTGTATCGGTATACCTTCTTAGAAGGCTAGTTAATTTTTAGGCTTAAATAAAACCCAAGATAAAACCTTCATATTTGCTGAACCAAAAGTCAAAAATAAACTATAGTATTTTTTCTACTTGCCTTATAAGGTGCACCAATAACAACTTCGGAGACATATTTACATGCAAGAACACTCAAAACGCGTTCGTGCAAATTCATGATTGGAAAATTCGCACCTTTGTACCTGTTAACTATAGGATCTGTGTGTAGTCCCACAATCAGATAGTCTCCCTAAAAAAATTTAAAAAAAAAATATACATTAACATAGGAATTTTCTATACAATTATTATAGCAATTATATTACATATTATATCTTATTATGAAGAAACTAAACACTCTGGAATTTCTATTCTATTTTCAACTATCACCAATGCATTTTATATGCAAGAATTAGGTCAACAACTTACTAGTTTTCTGGCCTTCTCCAAAAAATCTAAATGACCCACGTGAAACAAATCAAAGGCTCCGGCAACATAAACGATTTTGTCTCCGTCTTTTGGCGCCTTCCCATCGGAAAACTGAATGATCTTTTGTGTAGTTGGCAAAAACTGACTACATCCCGTCCACGGGGACCTGGCGGAAGAATCTTGACCCATAGTGGTAGAATGCTCTTTGGCAACGCTGTACTCATACTGACCTCTTTTAAAATGGTTCCTTGTCAAAAGCAACATTCGACCTACCAAATCGGTGGTGGATACGCCTGCGGTCCTCTCTACTTCACTGTAAATTTGTACAAAAAAAAAGATTACCAGCAAGTAAATACAAAGTTTGATTTTTCTTACCGATATCTTCCAGCGGTCTTTACAAGTTGATAGGTGTCCATACCTTCCGCGGTCGTGGTGATATCATCACCATGCACGCAAAAATCGCAGTCGTACCTGTCGAGTGTTTCCAAGGTTGTCACATAGGGTGCTCCTTCTACCACTTCGTCAACCCATTTAATTCCCCGCACCATTTTGTACCTATGTCAATAATAAATTCTTGATTTCAATAGCTCTGTTCTAACAGACATGAGAACCGTTCTAGAACGGTAATTTCCAGTCGATCAATTTATTTGTCAATTAGGATAAACGTTGAAAAATAGGTGGGCAACTGGAAATAACTGGTTCTGGAACGGTTCTCATGTCTGTTAGAATAGAGCTTATAATGCAGTTGCAAATTCAAATAGAATCAACATTGAAGAAGCCAAGTATTTTTCAGGTAGGTATATACATTTTCGCAATTTTAAGTTCAAGTTCTTACCGTTCTTGTTCTGTAAATACTGGCGGACCTTTATGCTTGGTTATTTCTTCATCTGTATGGACGCCCACAACTAAGTAGCCTCCTAGGGCCTTCGCTTGCCTCAGCGAATTGGCATGACCGAAATGGACCATGTCGTAACTGAAAATATAAGTACATAATTACAAATTTTATACAATTTGGCCAGTGGATAATAGTATATTTTTCAACAAGCGTATAATGGTGGCTATGGTTGGAATCATTCCAGTGAATACGAGGAAATTGTAAAAAATAAAATACAAGTTTACAACTAGAATTTGAACTTTATCTGAGCTCAAATCAGATTCAACTACAAGTACCTACTGGCTATCAACACCAACAACCATCTACAACCTCAAAGTAAAACGTAGGCTATTTTAATAATTACGAAGCCAAAACAAAAACAGAGCTGACTAATAACAGGTCAGAAAACATCCGAGACTGTATAAGAAAAGGGACATATGGAAAAGGTACTGTACTAACAATCCCACTGACTACAGGGATCATCGCACCTTCTGCAAAACTTCAACACAAGAAATCAAAGAAGCTAAGCTGGCATACATTGGCGCTCAACAAACTCGACAGGGTACCAAATGAAATCACAATTATCCAAATCACAATCCAAGATATCCTGAAGAAGATAAAAGCCCTGAAGGTTGCCAGCTCTCTGAGCCTGGACGGAAAATCATCATAAGTTCCTAAAAATTGCTCAAACAACATTGCTGTTCCCCTGTGCAAAATAATGAATATGTCATTGGAGCAAAAAAGGCTCTCCGCCCGCCGCTTGAAAAGTTACATCCGTCACTCCGATGTGCAAAACAGGTGATTAACTGGATTTTGGGAACTACAGGCCAATAAGCTTGCTAGGTACCCATCTCAGAAAATCTGAGAGGTTTTCTTTAACAGGAACAATTGATTCGGAGTACCACAACTTGCCTTCTTAAGAACTGGACAAAATCATTAGATCAAAAAACTCCCATTGATGTCATATACTTACTTGGATTTTGCCAAAGCATTCGACTAAGTCCCAAGCCAGAGGCTTCTGCTAAAACTGGATCATTTTGCTGTGAGAGAGAATTTACTGCTTTAGATAAAAAAACTATCTGACAAACAGGAAGAACAAAGTCGGAGATGGCGACTCATACTCTGAACTATTTCCAGTACAAAGTGGCGTACATCAAGGCTCAGACTTGCACATCTAATATATCAGCATGTGCAGCGTTCGGCGACGACATAACAATCTATAATCCCGCCAACAATTCTGACTCGCTCCAGAAGGATTTAAACCAAATTGAGAAATGGTGTTAGGACTGGCAACTATCCCTTAATGTGGAAAAATGTGTGGTACTTCAGCTTGAGAAAAAACACCTTGAAAATGGGCCAGTACTTGTCAGTGTTCAGCAACATAATGACCTTGGAAAATATTTGACTTGGTCAGCACATCTAACAATATGCAAAAAAGCCAATAGCAAGTTATTCCTCCTAGAAGGTCTTTGATGACACACCCCAAGAAGCGTTTACAAAACTGAACAACATATACTGCAGGCCAATCCTAGAATATGCAGGTCACGACCTCATTAGAGACTGTAATAGACTTGAAGCTGTATAGATAAAAGCAACACGATTGCAACTTGGGATGAGAAGACCTTCATATGAGGAAAGACTAGAACAACAAAAACTGCTGAGCTTCCAAAATAGAAGAACAAGGCGAGATCTTATCTTCACCTACCAAACACTCCAGAACAACATTCAAACAGTTAGACACCTCGTCGGACACCTCTATGCCCTGAACACAGACCAGAGACTCCGGGGTCACAGACTCAAACTAGTTAATTTTGGATCAAAATTAAGTTTTAGAGACAAGCGTGGAGACGGATATTTATCTTGCTGGTAACTATCTGCGACAGTTTATCAGAAGGTGAATGAACCTGCCCTAAAAAAAGCTTGAAACTGGATTTTAATGATATAATAGTGCTTTATTGAAATTTTCAAATATTCTTTAATTGCAAATATAGTTAAACAAAAACAACATACAAAACATGAAAAAACAATCACAGATGAAATCATTGTATTAAATAAAAAAAAGAAGATAAGATTAAAATAAAACTGTTAAAAAACTATAATAGTGAGGTGGAAGCGTCAATCCAGAAAAAATTGTCAACTTAAATACAATGGTCATTGAATTCAAGTAAAACCAAGGGTTAAACATTGATGAAGATCAGTAAAAGCGACAAAGTGACTAGTAAGTAAAGAAAGCTGGTATTCTGGAAAATGCACAATACCCAGTAGTAGTACTAGAAAATCTGTATTATTACATAATAGCTCAGATGAGCACTCTAGTGAGGATGAAACTGGACAAGAGGAAAACACAGACAGCCATGTTAAATATACAATAACAGATGTAGTGAGGCTGCTGAAAAAAAAATCACGATTATATGAAAGAAGAAATAAAAGCTCTCAAAAGTGATATAACAACTGTAGAAAATTCACTGCAATTTATGTCCGACACAGTGGGTGACCTGCAAGGAGAAAACAAAACAATAAAAGAGAAAGGAACTGCAGCAAGCAAATGTAAATTTACATTAAAAGTGCCGAGCGACTAAAAAGCGGTGTGCGTTCTCGAGAACGAGAATACCGGCCCAGAACATTTGCCATTTTTAAGTTGAAATGGCAAAAAATTTAATGTATAACTCAGTATTTAATAAGGTATTTAGAGTCCTGTTTTTGCAATTGGATAATATCTTCTTCCCTTTTGATCCACAGATGACGGCCGTTATCGTTAAATAAATTTTCCTGTTTCGTATCCAAGCATATTTGTAACCATTTTCCTCTTTGAACTTTCTTGTCCTGGTAAATAATTCCTGCTTGGCTCTGGTTAGGTCTTCGTTAAAGTATAATGTCTTCTTGCCAACGTAGCCGCAATCCTCCATCGTAAACTGACCAATTTCTTTTCTTTTTTAAAGATAGCTTGTTTTAGGTTTGTGTTTTTTAGTTCCACCAAGATTGGTGAGTTTTCTTTTTCGGCCAGTCGCTTAGATGTTAAATATGTTGTATCAATTTTAACTCCAACCTTTTCTATAAGTTAAGAAACGACAACTTGAGTGTTTTCCTCCACCTGTCTACAGGCGTTGATAATTATTGAATTTCGTTCCCTTTTTTCCTGTTTCGTGTTGTCATTTTTTTTTTCAGAACATTTATTCTGGCAAAGGTCTTGCTGCAGTTCCTTTCTCTTTTATTGTTTTGTTTTCTCCTTGCAGGTCATCCACAGTGTCGGACATAAATTGCAGTGAATTTTCTACAGTTGTTATATCACTTTTGAGAGCTTTTATTTCTTCTTTCATATAATCGTGATTTTTTTTCAGCAGCCTCACTACATCTGTTATTGTATATTTATCATGGCGGTCTGTGTTTTCCTCTTGTCCAGTTTCATCCTTACTAGAGTGCTCATCTGAGCTATTATGTAATAATACAGATTTTCTAGTACTACTACTGGGTACTGTGCATTTTCCACAATACCAGCTTTCTTTACTTACTAGTCACTTTGTCGCTTTTATTGATCTTCATCAATGTTTAACCCTTGGTTTTACCTGAATTCAATGACCATTGTATTTAAGTTGACAATTTTTTCTGGATTGACGCTTCCACCTCACTATTATAGTTTTTTAACAGTTTTATTTTAATCTTATCTTCTTAATACCTCAACTTCATGTTCAAATTACATACAATAATAAAATACTTTCAATATTAGAGCTATACAGATCTCTAGACTATGATATGGAAGCATACATTGCAGAGTTAGAGCCAATTTTAAACAATAATAATGAAAATTAAATAGTCTACCATTCGGGAAATATAAATTTGAATATATTATCAGAAAGCGTGTAGACGATTACAAAGCACTTCTTAGCAGTATGGGTTATACATCGTGTATAAACGGCATTACGCGTTCGAATGAAAATCTGGGAACTTGTGTTGACCACATATTTATAAAATGTATAAAGAATGAACTGCGAAGTGCTATAGTTCACTCAGATATATCAGACACACGAATATAAATGATAAATATGACAGATTTCTAAGCTCACTGAAAATTATGGTAACAAAAAGTTCTGCAAAAAAAAAGAGTTTTTCAGTTACAACAAAAAAATAAAACCCTGGATGTCCAGCGGCTTATGAAAAAGTATAAGAGAACGGAATAAATTGTTTAAAGGGGAAAGGGGGTGTGACCCAAAAATCAAAGTTTTAGTGCAAAAAAATCAAAGAATAAATATTTAAACCGCATCTTGCTACGATGGTCCGTTCTCGAGTTAGGACGGTTTAAAATTACAACTAGGTGTTTGTGACATCACTTTAGATTATCAGGGACAATATTAACATGTGTAAGGATTTTGCAAAACAAAAGACAATTATCTCTTAGAGCGAATTGCAACCACTCAAAGTATAGAGTACGGTTCACTGACGACTGAACGAACAGAAAACTGCGATTTCAGCGGTTGTGACATCATAAGTTCCTGCATAATTTATCTTCATAAGAAATTTTTTCAGAGACTATTTTGTTTATAGGACTGCGGTTTTCATGAGAGATCTTAGATTTTTTTTTCTTGATTTAAGTAGGTTGAGTCGTTTTTTAGGGTGACACCCCCTTTAGAAACATAAAAAGGAACCTTTAAATTACTAGGCAGCAGTATCTGTTATAGAGACATTACGTAAAAAAAATAATAACTGTATCAAAAAAATCTTAATACGAAAGCAAGTTAGTTAAAAACAAGCATAGCATTAGAAAACAATGCCAAACTATTTATTCAATAACAAATTCTTACAATAATTAAGATCCTGTAACTAGAATTAAAGATCCAAACACTAAAGAGTTTATAACTCATAAGAAAGAGATCGCAAATTTACATCCTGTGAAAAATATAAAAAAAGTTGCAGGAAAAAATGAAAAAGTTAAAAGAGATTGGTCAGGATTAATAAACAGCTCTAAAAATATAAATCACTCCCTTTTTTTCCACCTCTTATCAGTCAGATATAATAGAAATTATTAATTCATTAAAAAGTAACAAGACGCCAGGTCCAGACTCAATCACATCCAATATATTAAAAGAGATCAAAAATGGCATATC